TGATCTTACTTCAGCAACATTTTTCGGAACAGGCTACTTTTCCACTGCTTCAGCATTGAGTCGGTTCGAACCCCATCCCGGCTGACTTTGTGTGTCCAAGGTAGCTCACTTTTTCTTGAAAAAGCAAACGTTTCTTCACGTTCAGTTTCAGATTAGCTCTTCGTAACCTACAGAATACCTCTTGAAGACGATCAAGTTCATCTTGAAAGGACTTGTGCGTGCACGTTTATGTCGTCAAGATAGATCTCTGCATGGATACCGCTAATAGAGGAAGCTAAACAGGGGAGTAACACAGTTAAAAGTCATTATTTAAAAAATTTAAGTTAAAAAATTTCCAATGGACCTGAAATTTCTCTTTGAGCAGGAATGTGCGAATGTAGTGCTCATATAGCTACTGTACCTTCGATGAGAACAAGAGCATGTGCTCATACCTGTGATGAGCAGATGAGCATGTGCTCATAACAGCAGTGCTCATCGGCGCATCGCACAATTGATACTTTGTTTCTTGTTTGGCTTGTTATCAAACAGTAATGCAGTTTTATGAGCAGCTTAGCAGATGAGCATGTCCTTCTCAAGCTTAGCTATGGGCTTATAACAACAAAAGTGATCGAGCTAAACTGCCATTTAGTCCGTTCTCAGTTGTTATTATCCTATGGATAATCTATCGCTTGCTGATCAAGTAAATTAATGTTGTGTCGTTTCTGGTGCCTTAGGCATATCAATGTTAAAATGTAAAAATTTACTTACATTGTTTAATTATCAATCCACATATAAAATGCCCACGCTGGCGAATTTTTAACATACAAATAGTCTAAGTTTAATCTGGCTATGATGTTACTTATCAAAGGCATATACTTCCAGGAGCGTAGGATTTACTTTTTAAACTACAAGGAAAAAATTCAGAGCACCTACTTTTTATTTTTGGCCTGGTACTTTGCCACTTTACGTACTCCCGATATGTTAAAGATTAGGCCAGGTGCTGCAGTGTTGGTCGCCGGTTGGGTCACGAAGGGTTGTATTGATGTTGGTTGGGTCTTGGAGGGCAGAACTGGTGTTAGTTGGGTCAGGAAGGGCAGAAATGGTAAGGTTGTTAGTTGAGTTTTGGAGGACAGAACTGGTATTGGTTGGGTCAGGAAGGGAAGAAGTGGTGAGGTCGTTAGTTGGCTTGGTGAGTGATTCTGCCCGTGCAGTTTCTTCCTGTTGTTACATTCAAAGTAATTATCCAGGAATAATTTCTTACAGCGTTTCTTAACGTTATCGTTTAGGGAGTAGTTACTTGTGTACCAAACATGCGGCAAAACCCCCTTAAATTCATAACACCAAATCAAAATAATATCCTCTGTATAGAATAAGTAGATATATTTTTTTTGCCGTTTTTAGTGCAAAGTTTGAGAAACTTAGTGCAAAGTTTGAGAAACTTTGCAGTGTTGTGATGAGTGGCAAAAATTCAAATGAGTCAGTAAGTCAGACAGTCAGTCAGTCATAGTGTAAACTTTACGGGGGGTAGGTTGATTTATGCGTATAAGAACTTTTTGTATATGATCAGTAATTTAAGGTTTTTAAATCAGTTTAACTTGCTTTATTTATTAATGCACTATACCCCTTTTGCAAAGTTCACCAAAATATTGAGGAATTTCGGCGGTTATTGTAAATTTTGAAGCATTGCTTTTCCGCCGTTTGGGTTTTGTTTTAAAGGGATTTACGCAGAATTACCCCCTGGAACACCCGATTCTTTTTTACACGTTGCAACTGCGCATGTTCTGTCCAGACTTGAACAATATTCACGACGTAAAGAAACAAGGAGCGACGAGCATCACTTCAAAACATTCCGGGCGTAAAAATCGAGCAATTATTTGAGAATCTACGCAATTTATCAACTTATGTTATGAATTACAAGCATTCAATTCAACACAAATATAATTTGGAAGGTTTATTCCATAAATAGAGCTAAAAGGGTTAGAAAGAAACGACGTTGTGTTGTTTATGTATTGATAGACTCTTACACGAATGTATATTATGTCGATAGCAAGTCGATACCTAATATTCTGCATTACAGTACATGAATGATACTATACAAAACAGACATTTTGTGCAGTAATCAAATCATTTTGGCGGTATGCAGTATTGATTATAAGTATATTGTTTTGTATCGATTTACGCATCGAAGTATCCACATCATAGACATAATATGCACCGCGGTTTATTTACATTATTTACAATGCAACTATTTTGGCTTTTCTTATGAAGTGACGGATAAATTGTAGCCAACATATAAATGTAGTGAATGTAATCACAGTTGTTTTATGAAGAAAAGAGACTAAACTGAGAAAATCGCGCCCGCAACTAAAAGTATAATTTAATAGTGACAGTATCCGCGGCTAACGTAACTTGAGTACTTTGAGTAATTTCCTTTTGATTAATGTTTAACCTAGTTCATTATATTTTTACTGGCATAAGTCAAAATGTTTATGTTGGGACAAATGTCTGGTTGCTTAGGTATTACAGGGCATGAAAACTTTGCACTATCCTTGGATCCCTAGTTATATAATGGATACAAGGTTGCCAAGTATATCACTATGTACAAATAGTATATCAATAAAAAAAATACATCAAAAACACTTCCATTTTTTTAAAAAAAACTCAGTATGAGCATGAGTAAATTAAAACCGTCAGTTCTCGAACATTTAATTGGCATTTCGATTTATTGAGATTGATGTTCAATTTATCATGATATTGGTGCACGATGTACGTTTATCACCCATTGTTCAGTTAGAAAGAATCTGTGAGTCTTGATGAGACAATTGCGAACACGAATAGAAATTAAACCACACCCATATTTCATCCGAAGCTTCTCAGTATAATATTACTTCCGATATTGCCATGATGGCTGAAATGCTATGTTTTAATATAAACAATTAACAGATGAGTAAGACAGCCTTGGTCTTAAAAATCTATGTCTTCAGTAGTTGGACATTGGCAACCCAATGCCTCACAAAACTCTTCTTCATCTTTTTTTCCTTTAAGTTTACGGAATCCACTGGCCAATTTTGAATCAATTAAACTACCAACTTCTTCAGGACAATCAGAACAAAGGAGCACGCAATATAGTTTCTGGTTACCATATGTATATTTTTGTTGCATTCTTAATATAAATTCATAAGAATAGTGTAGAAACTACTATACTTTTTCCACCTAAATCTTTCTGCAAAGTCCACGATGTAATGACACAGGTTCATCATGCACTTGAAACCCAGGGACAACAATTCCTTCTCCAACAACCCGACCTCACCATTTTTTCTCCAACAACCCGACCTCCCATCCAGAATATTCACTTCCATCCAAAATGGCTAAACTAAAATGCCAAACCAAAAAAAGGAAATAGTCTAAGTTTAATCTGGCTATGATGTTACTCATCAAAGGCATATACTTCCAGGAGCGTAGGATTTACTTTTTAAACTACAAGAAAAAAATTCAGAGCACCTACTTTTTATTTTTGGCCTGGTACTTCGCCACTTTACGTACTTCCAATATGTTAAAGATTTAGGCCGGGTGCTGCGGTGTTGGTCACCGGTTTGGTCAAGAAGGGTTGTATTGGTGTTGGTTGGGTCTTAGAGGGCACAACTGGTGTTGGTTGGGTCAGGAAGGGCAGAAATGGTAAGGTTGTTAGTTGAGTCTTGGAGGACAGAACTGGTGCTGGTTGGGTCAGGAAGGGCAGAACTGGTGAGGTCGTTAGTTGGATTGGTGAGGTCATTGGTTGGATTGGTGCGGTAGTTGGTTGGATTGGTGAGGCAGTGGGTTAGTTTGGTGATGTCGTTGGTTGGATTGATGATGTTGGTTGGATTGGTGAGGTCGTTGGTTGGGTCAGGAAGCAAATCATCGCCATTGAATGGGTTATCAAAAAAGTTGTCATGGAATATGTCATCCTTTTTTCTTATTTTTAGCTGATCTTTGCACTCAACGATTTTCTTCAGTTGTCAAGTCCTGTACGCACTGGGGTTTTTTTAGTGTTATTCCTTCAGACAAGCACTGTGCATCAAACTTTGCCAGCCTTTTGTAAGGAAATCGACCCTTCTTGTAAAATAAAGACATTCGTTCAAGATGGTGGACTATCAACAGCCCCGACAATATTCATTATTCAAACCTAAATACTTTACAAATATACTCACCCGGGAGGGCAGAGTATGCTTATGCTAATTATATCACATCTTTCCCTTTTTAATAATAGCCTAAATTCTAAATAAATTAAAGTTCAAGTTACTAAGACAAAATGTTAAATGTTCTAGATAAAGCAAAGTCGAATATAAACGTAAGAATATAAGTTCATTAAACTTATAAAAATAACTAAAATTAATGTCAAATAATGTTTCTAACTTTACCACCCAAATCGTTTGGGTTTCACCACTAATCGACCACTTCTGGTAACGTACGGGCTGGTGGTCTTGGCAGGTGGTGGGGATATTTCTGGTAAGGGTAAGGGATCTGGATTCACGGTCGATGAAGCAGTGGATTGGTCAGAACCAACGGACGGTGAAACTGCATTCTCGGGAGATGACATTTCTTTGTCAACTGCCGGAGCTATAGTTTGGTCGTCACTGTCAGATCCAAGGGCTGGTCCAACTCGCAAATGCTGTCGAATGCGGCGATACTTTCTTCCATCATCCGTTTGCACTATATATGATCTTGGCGTATGGTGATGCCCCAGTACCGTCGCTGGTTTCCATTCTCTGGAATACGTCAACGGTTCTAACCGGACTTTAGCTCCAGGCTGTAGTTCTTTCAGCTCCTTACTTGCATGCTTGTTGTAATACTTTTTCTGGTCTTCTTTAGTCTTCATTAAATATTCGGAAATACGTTGTGGGCTGGTGTTAGCAGGTTGAAGTAACCCTTCCATCACAGGCAGGTTGTTTCGCAGTCGACGTCCCATAAGTAGTTGAGCAGGAGACAGTTCAATGTTAGGTAACGGCGTTGTCCGATAGTGAAGTAGGGCTAAGTACTTATCATTATTTTTTCGCCACAAATTCTTGATAGTTTGGATGGCTCTTTCTGCTTCTCCATTTGCTCTTGGAAAGTGGTGAGCTGGTGGTATGTTTAAAACCATACTCTTTTGCAAATGCTTGGAACTCGCGACTACTGTATTGGGGCCCATTATCAGAAATGACCTCGGCTGGAATTCCATGGACACCGAATTGGCGTTTGAGCTCGTCTACGACAGCACTACTTCTTGTAGATTCCATCTTGGTGACCTCTGGAAACTTACTGCGGTAACACACAGAAACCAAAAAATGTTCTCCACGAAATTCAAACAGATCGGTTCCTATCTTTTCCCACGGAAACTTTGGAGGAACGGTTGGTTTCAAAGGCTCTGAAGGCTGCTTCTTCGCATAATCGGCACACACGCTACAATTGGTAACCATTTCTTCAATCTGTACTGACATGCCAGGCCAAAATAATACATCTCTGGCTCTTTGTCTACATTTGACTATCCCCAGATGACTCTTGTGAATTTGACAAAGCATATCTGGTCTAAGAACTCTTGGCACGATTAGGCGTGTTCCTTTGAAGAGCAACCCATCTGCTGTTACAACTTCATCTCTGAATGTCCAGTAAGGTCTGGCTGCGACAGGAACTTGTTGTTTCGTGTCCGGCCAACCACTCTTCACTAACGTAATGACGGCTTGTAGTTCCGGATCGGTTTTGGTTTCCTTCTGGAATTCCTCATATCGCTCGTCCGAAACTGCAAGAACCGTATGAACTTCCTGGAATTCTGCATAATTTTCCTGTTCGTTATTTGGCAAAGATGCTCGACTCAGAGTGTCAGCCAATACTTGTTTACAGCCTGGAACATAACGGATCTCCACGTCGTATCCACGCACGTTAAGAATCATCTTCTGAAGTCGCAACGGAACCTGTGACAATGGCTTGCTGCTGATGGCTTGTAGTGGTTTATGGTCTGTCTCAACAATCACACTTCTGCCATATATATACTGATGGAACTTACGACAAGCGAAGACTACTGCAAGCATTTTGGCTTCAATGGCAGCATATCTGCTCTCAATGTCCGTAAGAGCTCGAGAAGCATAACACACAGGCTTTCCCTCTTGTAGTAACACTGCTCCTAATCCTTTGCCACTTGCATCACACTGGATTGTTACCGGTTTGGTGACATCATAATACTGTAGGACTGGTGATTGTGAGACAACTTCCTTGATCTTCTCAAAGCTTATTTGCTGTGGTCGATCCCAGTGAAACAGTACGTCGGCTTTCTCAAGTTCTCTCAGCGGTGCATCCACCTTGGATAACCCAGGAATATATCGACTTAGGAATTGCACAAATCCAAGAAACCGTTTGACGTCTTCTTTGTTATTTGGCGTTGGCATTTCTCGAATAGCTTCAACTTTCCGAGGATCCATCTTCAAGCCTCCTGCTGTGAGGAGATGCCCTACATAAGGCACTTCTCTTTGGCGAATCTTACATTTTTCTCGATTGAGCTTTAACCCTTGCGTCGATGCTCGCTCCAAGAATTTGTTCAATCGTTCATCATGCGTTGTTTCATCCCCGGTGACGATTACATCATCCATAATAACCTCCACACCGTCTAAATCTTCAACCATTCTATCCATGGTTCTTTGGAAGATCTCTGGGGAACATTTTACCCCAAAAGGTAGCCTTGTAAATCTGTACCGTCCTATTGGTGTGTTGAAGGTACAAAGGAGTGAAGACTCTTCATCCAGCTTCAGTTGCCAGAAACCATTCTTCGCATCCAATATGCTAAAGATATTAGCACCTTCGAGACGACTGGCGACTTCATCCACAGTCTTCATCGGATGATGGTACCTTTTCATGGCGGCATTCAAATCCCTCGGATCAATACACAGTCTCACTGCACCATTAGGCTTTTGAACCACGACCATCGAGTTAACCCAATCTGTCGCTTCTTCCTGTCGCACAATCACACCAAGTCTTTCCATTCTTTTAAGCTCTTCGATAACTTTTTCTCTCTGTGGAATGGGTACTTTTCTTGGAGCATGAACAACAGGGGTGGCACCTTCATTTAATTCGATATGATAATCACCAGGTAAACAGCCCAATCCTTTGAACAGCTCTGGGTAGTCATCCAATTCAACTTTCTCTGGTGCTGCTTTTTGACTTACAACTTGGTAAACTCTCTTCAGCAAACCAAGTTTGACACAGGTGTTTCCACTAAGGACAGATTCAACTTCAGCTTCCACAACAAAAAATTTTACATCTTCTATGTGGTCTTTATACTTTACTTTTAACACAACTTCTCCAAATGGTTTTAGTTTATGCTTGGAAAAAGAAATCAAAACAATATTTGTTTTCTTCAGTGGGCAGAGAGATGTACACTTAAGGTTGTTATAGGTCTTGAGAGACATAACATTCGCTTTCGCCCCACTGTCCAACTGAAATTTAACCTTAGTACTTTCTACATCAACAGTTTCGTAAAACTGTTCGTCCTCAGATGGAATGGTTGACCCAATTGCATATACAAATAAGGATGAGTAATCATCACTATCCTCGGAACTAGTGTCCTCTTTTTTGTGTAACTGTACGTTGTTAACTGGTTTGGCTCGGCAAACCTTTGCGTAGTGATTCATCTTTTGGCATCGTCTGCATTGTTGACCCATTGCTGGGCATTTCTGGTGACTTTTATCGAAACCACATCTTCCACACCTATCCTTCAACATGCTGTCCACTTCCACATTCGGGTTTTCTCCCTTTGTCTGCCGTTTATTTGAATATCGACGATTTCGAGGGTCCCGCTGATGATACTGTTCCTGTTTAATGGCATTAATGCTGGGGTCTTCCTCTTTCGTGAGCTTCTTTAAACTAACTAAATTGGTTTCATGGCTTCGTCCGATTTCAATAGCCTTTTCTAATGTCAAAGTATCAGCCAAATCGATACACTTCTCACGAACCTTTATATGTTTACAACTAAACACGATTGCATCACGAACCATATGTTCCTCGTCTCTATAACCACAATCCTTTACCAAAATCCTGAGGTCTGTTACGAAGGACTCAAAACTCTCATTCTCTCCTTGACGTCTTTCATTGAATTTCAAAGCGGCCATGATATAGTTCTTACGTGGAGTACAATAGTCCTCGAATTTCTTTAATACAATGTCTAATTTCTTTGCATCGGCGGGTTCAGCAAATGTAAATCCTTCGAATACATCAAGTCCTTTATCGCCCACCCACAATTTAACATAACTGACTTTAACGCTATCCTCTTTATCGTGTAAAGGACCTTCAAAAATACACATTGCTTGCCTATAGAATCGACGCCATTCTTGATTTAAATCTTGTGCAACCCAAGAAATTTCTGGGGTCTTAAATTTCGCCATTAGATACTGTGTTTTTTTTCCGTTTACTGAACTATTATACTTAGAAAGAACTCTTCTTTCTATTTTCATATAGATTCAAGCACGATGGCTTGAATTCGGCACGGATTCATAAGGAACCTGACACCATGTAAAATAAAGACATTCGTTCAAGATAGTGGACTATCAACAGCCCCGACAATATTCATTATTCAAACCTAAATACTTTACAAATATACTCACCCGGGAGGGCAGAGTATGCTTATGCTAATTATATCACACTTCTCACTAGTTTCCTGCTCTATAACAGATAGAACGTGAGTATGTCATGTTGAAATGAATCGATTTTTACTTGATACAAAAATGGTCAAGACAAATGACTTCATTTTCACCTAGGGCCTATATAGGTACTAACCTTATAACCGTAAACTTTACTTATTTTTACCTTCGCTAGACGCAAAACCTTTTTTAAACAAATTCCAGCTGCTCTTTGCTCTTTTTCTTCTTGTTGTAATGTCATGCGAGGAGTTACCACTCTCATCACTCGTGTTTACTATTGATCTTTTGTTCTTTGGGTTCAGCTTCGACTTGTACACCATTTTAGTTATCTAGTTTTGTTAAATTGAAACAATGTTGAAGGTAAAACTTTTTACCACTTTTTTATGAGGCCAGGCCAGAACTAATCAATTGGGCATGTTCGGCAATCCAGCATGCCTCTAAGAACCAATGGGATGCAATAAGTGATGCTTGCATCCATTTTTCTAGTAGTTGCTGAACATGCGCCAAATTAAACGTTCCTCCACAATTATTATTCTTCGGCATATGTGGCTCTAATCACTATCTCTACAGAACCACAATTTAACAATGTTTGTATAACTTGCGTGTCGCGACAATGTCGCTGTAGCAGCTTTCAGCTTGATTAAGCAAGAACAATAACAGGAACCTTTAGTAATTAGCGGTTAATATGACGCGGTAGCAAGTTCTGATTTGAAGCATGCAAACTTTGCGTAAATCACCTTTTTCGCGCAGTTGGTTCTGTGCATTCGTCAAGAACAGTTGGGCTTGAAATTCGTGTTGTAAAGTACATAATAAGGTACTCGTTTATAAGTATTTCGTAGTCGCACCAATAGTGGATATCGTGGTTTGCGCATCAACCTCAACTAGCTAGACTGTTATGTAAGTTTATTTTTACAACTGTTTCAGTTTGTGTATAGTTTCTTTGTTAACGTTTAGTTTTAGCAATTTGCATGACACTTTGCATGACGTTTACACAAGGGATATCCAATACAGGTGACCAATTGTACTCACTGATATACTGCTCAAATGCTTGAAGCGACAAGGATTTCAAAGGTCGGACCTTTATCCGCTTTGGCTTTTGTTCCTTTTTGTTTCCTTCTTTAGATGACTATATGATTGTACTATGGTCAGAGTTTCCAATTGTAGCTAAGATGTGTGGTGTTTGATAGAGATTCATAATATCTGTGAATATAAGGTCAAGTATTGCGGACTTTCTAGTAGGTTTTTTAACTACTTGCTTTAAGTGGCATTGGCTGGTTATAGTTTTAATGTTAAAGCCATTACTTGCAGGATTGAAATCACCAGCAGCGATAATTGATGTGCTTGGGCTTTCTGCTTTTAGCGTGTCTTAACAATAGCAAAAGTATTCATAGAACTTAATCAAATTTTCTTGGTCAATAGATGGTGGGATATAGACACATGCGACAGCAATTCTTGATATTACTTGAGGTAACCACTTAGGTTGCAGAATAACCCATATACACTCGAAGTTTTCGTTCCCAAAGTCGTAACGGACTTTTAATGGTAAACCTTCATTGATGTAAAGTGCAACGCCTCCACCTCTACTTATGGTTCTGTCCTTCCGTATTAGATTAAAGCCAGAGATATTCATTGCTTGGTTAGGTATGTCTTCAGTTAACCACGACTCCGTGACTGCTATGATATCTGGTTTATGTTGCTCAATCATTACTACAAGTTCGGATTTCTTATTTAGGATTGATCGTGCATTAAACAGAAGTACATTTGGCATAATGTGTCTTTGTTTACACCTCAACGTAGGAGATCTAGTGATCTGGATAAGGTTGTTTCTGTTGATACAGTACTTGGTGTGCTGAGGTTTTGTAAGATTAGTAATTCTCACCGGTATTGCGTGGGTATAATCATTCTGGGTAGCTGGGATTATATATGATTTGAAGGGTTTCCGAGATATTTCGACTTCAATAGTCTTACAAGGCGTAAGTGATTCCTCCATTCTAGACTCCAAGATTGTGATTGGGGTAGACTCTGAGGCATCGATCGGTATAGGTTGGAATGTTTTCGTCGGTCCGGAGGGATGGTAACTACTCCACCCCAAAAAGGAGTAGGGTTTGGTTTGACAATGGAAGCTGGTGGGTTAAATTTCTCCCTCTGAATATTTTGGTATTCCCTTAGTTGTCTGGAGAAGGAATCTGGATTACTGCTGGAAGAAGTGAGTAAGCTAGGGGTTGATGAGCCATAATCTGGTGGGCTAAATTTATCTCTTTGTTTATTTCGGTAACCCTTTAATTGACTGAGGAAGGATTCCGTGTTACCGACATCTTTCTTTTTACTATTCTGCTGTAGGCCTGTTTGAGATGTTGTTTTCGGTGTTCAAATTTTCAGGCATTGTTTGAGTACCCGATTGGGAAGAATTCATCATTATAATCGTGAGCCTATTTGGCTATTTATACAAGCGTTGTGACATCATCAAGAAGAATTAAAGGATTAGTTAGTGAAGGAAGAATTAGAAGTGGTTAGAGCCGGAACTTTGAGTTGCAAAAGTCACAGGTCTTTGCTTGCTTTAAGACAGTTGTTTAGTTCTGGTTTGTAAGATTGGACGAAAAGTGCTCCCATCAGAAAAAGTTGTGTTTTTCTGCTTGTATAAGTAAAGTATATTCTAGTCGGTGAAAATTTAGGGAAGAAAGAATTCAGTCTGTACAGACGTGTTTTGCATGAAAACGGAAAATAGGTGGACATTCAGATTTTGTACTGAAAATGGAATAATGGATATCTATATGTTACTTAGAATTGATAAAATTGCATACTATAAATTGCATACATCATTTGATTTTGAGATTCTGTTTGAACGATAGCATAATTGGTGCCAGATTGGAATTAGATTCCAATCTCAACTAGTTTATTTGGTACCAGATTGGAATTAGATTCCAATCGGAAAGAATTGAATTTTGTCACTCATGAACTCATGAATTCTGAACGATTTCGTCACTTCAGTTTGTGATAATCTAGATTGGTATATAAAAAGATGCACAAACTGATGTTCCGTGATGAAAATGACAAGTTCAAAGTTACATCAACTTTTGCATTAGTAACAAATAATTGTAAATGCAAGTAATAAGTTAATTTATTTTTTAACTCTGTAAATGAAGCAATCTGATTGGCTGAGAAGCGTTTCACAGTGGGCCGGAATTTTGCATCCGGCCCGCTGCAAAATGCATCCGGCCCGCTGTGAAAAATGCAAGCAAAACGACAAAACCAAAGCAACGTACAGCTAAAATGTGTGAAAACCTTTCTGGAAAAGGCTAAATGAATGTTAAAAATAAAAAACATACCCGAAAAACTTCTTTTTTTTTATTTTTTACGCCTTTTTTCGCTTGTCAATACGTTGTTTTTTTAATCAATTCGCCGTGATTTAGTTGCTATGGTAACAATATTTGCCATTTCATTGGCTGTTTCCCGACTAAGATATCCTTATAAGGAGTTGTTGACGTATTAAAATTCTAAAATGGCTTGCAGAATTTAAAATTTTTATAGTTTTTTCATTAAATTTGTTGTATTTTTTGTGTTTTATAAAGTCAAAAAAGTCAAGGTTAAAAAATAGAGACCTCCGGCACAGTTTTTTGCATCCGGACCTCGCAGCCGGTAAATAACATATATGTACGTGAGTAACTTGATGCAAGTAACTTAGAACTTGCTTATGGTAAGTTCTAACGATGAATGGTAACTTGGTGTATAACAAAACTAAGTGAGTCTATACTAGTTAATATTGTCAACTAAATTGTGATAAGTTAGCTTCGATATGATACGGGAGTCTGATGAGAAAATGGAGGTGGGTGCACACAATATTAAAGAGTTATGCACGATAAAAACAATTTTGGCATATTCTGTTAGCTTACTTTTTGCGATTCACTCTATTCTTCACACATTTTAAGTAGAGCTGCCATGCACATAAATGATATGGGCTTCTGCTATACAATGCAATCGACATGCACTACAGGTTGGGCTGGAAAAAAATAGAATAGACTTTTCCACAATTGTATATTTATTTGTATTTTGGCTTTACTTTAATCTAAAGAATCTCTCTCAAAAAGATAAATTACACTGTCCGAAGTCTGAAGACCAATACCAGCTAACAATTTTAAAAAATACATAAAAAAACATAATTCGAAGATTAACATCTTAAAACCCAAAATATAGGTTAAAACAAGAAAACAAGGATTTTATTCTCAAATCACAATCATTAGTTTTATGATGGTCTTCACAAACTTGTTGTTGCCTTGTTTTAACTATAAATCTATAACGTTCGTAGTTGACACACACTAGACAGTCACTCTAATCCTGCAGTCAGACCAGTGCTGACAAAGTGGTTATTATTTGTCACATGAAGGCTCCCTGGTAAAAAGATCTTTTTGGTTGATATTAAAAAAGTTTGCTTTTTGATAATAACTTTGTTGCCCAGCATTGTTATGTTCAGGCGAATTTGCTGCGATTTATGTTGCAAAGTTATGCAATAGGCTTCATCATGTTAATTAAAAAATCCCTAAGCGGTAAGGACATTAAACGGCTCATAATTACTGACAAATATTACAATAACAACTCAAATGCTAAAATAAACTATAAATATATAAAAATCGCAGCAAAAATCGCTCGTGTGAACTAGCCTTTTGGTCTCTGGCTTTCAAGTCTGGCTATCTTGAACGAGCTTCTATGATTAATGGTAGACTGGAACTAGTGTTTCTCTACATTCGTGG